ATTTATGAATGAGAGCTTAGCAGTGACCAAACATATGAAATTGGAGCAATAAACAAACATACTTGGTTAATGGCTGTGCCTGGTTTCAGTGGCCCCGGCTGACTAATCAGAGCTGAAAAAGAAAAGAAAAATTGGACTTTATATGTTTTGTGTGTGATATAGTCAGGAAGTCAGTTGTTAACAGACTGAGTTCTTCTTGCTGTCTGCATAAAAACATCGCTGTCATGGTGCTTTCCAGCTTTCCTGGTTAATTCCTGTTCTTTTATCCCAGCATTCGAGTGTTGTTCTGTGCCATCATGGCAGCAACGAGTTTCCTCCTGGTGTCCTTCTCCTCAGCTGTGTGGATGAGTATTCTCGGTAAAGCAACCTGTTAATCATTCAGATCAGATCTTTTATCATTAAGGGTGTCTGATATGGCTCTGATGAGCTTTTAGAAGGTGGATTAGATAAAACTTTGAGTTATTTGCTTCGGTTTAATTTCTTCTTATCTACTGTGAGCATCTGTGGTTGTTCCACAGAAGCTTGATAGAGCTTTACTGCTGCTATAAATAATCATTTATCGTACCAGTTCACGCTTCTATCAAATACACTCCTCCAGACACCAAACGTACCAGCCCCAAACTAAATGCTGCCACCTTTAAAGCAGTAGTGATACTGGCACCACAGATCTACTGGAAGAACTGGATATCAGATGCAAAGATGGCCCCTGCTTGCTAGAAATGTCCTGATAGGCTCTAAAGGGCTTGTGCAGCAAAATACCATTAGCAGTGGATGGAAATTGTTTCTTTTTTTTAATAGACGGCCCTATTTCAGACATTACTGTTAGAATCAAGCAGACCTCTATGTGAATAAAGTAAGTCAGTAAAGAGCAACTAAATTCGATTCAGTTCACCAGTAACTAAAATGCAACCATTGTGACTGCCCACAAAGGTCCTGTAAATGAGCTCTTTTTATTGAAGTTTGTTCTTCAAACAAAAGAATAAATTCTTCCTCTTTGCTCTCTCTGATCATGTTCTCTGTGGCTGTGTTTGCAGGAGTGATCTTTGCCAGTATCAGCTCAGGACTGGGAGAGTTGTCCTTCCTCTCTCTAACAGTATATTTCAGCAGGTAAACACTCTTCACTCATTCTTTTTGCCAATTTTGAATTCAGTTGCTGCTCTCTTATTAAAGATTCAAACAGAGCTTGTCCAGATGACAGAACTTGGGTCGATGCCCAAAGTGTAGGGTAAAGTTTGTGAACAAGGCAGAGTTTACACAGTCGAATTCTTCGAATTCCTGCACAAAGACAAAATTTTATTTGTATTTTATTTGCTGTGTGGAATCCCGTTTCTGCCAGGACTGAAGTAAGAATAGCTTGAAACCAGAATCATTCAATGGAAATTACTTTTTGTTACACTTGCTTAGTAAAAATTGTGAAAAGATAAAAATTATAAATAAAATAATAATTCATTAAGTTGATATAACAAAGTCCAAGTGAATTAACTGCTATGGAAAAAGAAAAATTGAACAAAACAAAACAAATTCTATGTGTCAGAATTAAATGAACAATACCAAGTGTGCAGTATTAATGGAGGTTTGCAGAAAGTAATTTTACAGTAGTTTAAATGTAAGTTGAGAGTAAGGAGCTTTGGTTGTTTTATAAAAACAAAAGTTTAGAGGGGTTGGGATTGTTGACAGTTCTAACTAAAATAACTAAAAACTGAAATAAAATACAGATGATAACAAGAAAAGCAAAGTGAGTTTATTTTTCATACATTTTACACAAATTTCCATTCATCATTTTCTCCCTGATGCCACCCATTTGTTTCTGGAGCGTCATAGTGTTTTATGGAGCCAGACTCAAGCAGAGGTTGGAGTGCTGTCTCCATGAGCTGTGCACACAGACACACCTGCTCATTAATAAGTTACACACTAATAAAAAACACCACCAGAATTCCCAGACTTCTTGGACAGTCTGCACCACAGAGTTATATGATCTTGGTAAAAATGGTAAATGGCCTGTATTTGCGTAGCGCTTTACTTAGTCCTGATGGACCCCAAAGCGCTTCACACTACATTCAGTCATCTGCCCATTCACACACACATTCACACACTGGTGATGGCAGCTGCATTGTAGCCACAGCTGCCCTGGGGCCCACTGATTGCCTCTGTAAGATAATTCCTTCTTCAAAAGACATCAGCAGCATAAATCAGCTGGCATCAGTGACCAGCTGTGCTGATGCCTAGCAGAGAACAGATGGACTGCTACAGGTTTGCAAAAAGAAAAGTTATGAAGGAGTTATCAATCTGATATTCTTGATATCAGACATTTTCCACTGAGTTACGTAGTTTGGGTGCTTGACTTTAAATGTCAGTTTCCACGATGACAGAGCTTTTTCACAGTAACTCCAAGTTTCCTTCTAACAGTAATCCTGCTTACAGCTTAGACTCACAGCAGATAAAGTCCCAGTCAGAAATGAGTTTAAGAAGCTGTGAATGGTCTTCCAACCGTGTTTTTATTTTTACTCTGGAACATTAACGGTGGTTTTCTGTCTGCTCCAGGAGTGTACTGGAAGGCTGGGGCTCAGGCACTGGTGCTGCTGGTCTTATTGGAGCCCTCCTTTACTCAGTCCTCATCCAAGCTGGCCTTTCACCACAGGTTACACTGCTTATCATGCTGGTCGTCCCAGTCACTATGGTGGCAAGGTAAGTGTGCAGGGACAAGGATTCTCTGTATTTTTGTGTTGTGACTCATCGCTCACTCAGATAGTTAGTTTGTGCTTTGTTATTTGTGGACATATTATCTTATTTTGTTTTTAGCATTTTTGGATGGGAGTTGCTTAAAGTGAATCAGTGGCACCAAACATGGCAGGAGATTAAGACATTCTTTAACTATGGTCTTGTGGCTTAGGCAGGTAGGCTGTTTTTAAGTTGTCATAGCATGTACACCGTGTGTGCATCTAATATGTCAGTGTTGATGGATGCTAATGACATCCTCACGAGGTGAGTGTTTTGTGCTGTGACCTACTACTGGATCACTTGTGAGTGTTGTTGGCCAGGTGATGGCAATAACACTGTGGGGTGCTGAGCCACCCTTGATGTGATCATTGTGTGGCCATAGCTCTCCATTTTGTGGTTGGTCACTAGTATGCTTGCTTTACTGAACCTTGTGGATTAAAGTAACTTGTGGTATAAGGCCATTTGAATGTGACCATTTGTGTGGTGGAAACAACAGATCACTTGATTGTGGGTATTTGTTGCTACTTTTGGTTTTGTGTTGTAGCAGGTCAAGTAATCATTTTGAGTTTGTGACTGTCGTGCTCCTTTGTGTTGGTCACATGTTACTTCTTGTGTGTTCAGTGTGGCAACTTCAAATCCTCATGCAGGGGCATCCATGCTTAAAGATGCCAACTATAATGTGAAGCCTGTGCTTCTGTTAGCTTTTACTTTTATTTCAGGTTTGTGGTTCAAGGACCTGAAGGCTTCAGGGGGGCTTTTAATAAATGTAGGGGTCCTAGAGGAACCCTTTTGAGGGAGGAGGTGTTATGTCCCTCTGCAGCCCCTAATCTCCTCAGTGTGTTCACCTAGTCAGGTGCTGATAAAGGCATATCTGAAGCAGGCTTTTTAGCCGACCTGCTATGCATTTTAGGATTAAAACCTCTTCTCACCCACAATCTGGTATTGAGCCGGGTCGTAACAGAGACTTAACAAGGGTCCAATTTTGAATTAAGCTTCTGTAGGTCTAAGGTGTAGGTAGCCCAATGCTTTCATCTGTGGAGGTGAAGTGGTGGCCAAATAGTCACTTTAATTGAGTTCAGTTGACTCCAGTTCACTTCAGTCAAATGAGACATTGACAGGATGTAGTTTGTATTTCCTGTTGAGACTTTTTCCCTGTAAACTGCGTATAAATGAAGCTGAAACTTACAGACAAAATGATTTGTCGTCTTCTTCATCCCAACAATTTTACCAGCTATTTCTGCCTGCTGGTTTTTCCACCTTCATTACCTCAGTGGAGGACCAAGGAGACTGAGTATGCAGCTTTGGTCTCTGAGGACAGACAGCAACTTCTGGACAGTTCAGACGAGGAGGAGCCCGAGAGCTCCACCACAGGTAAATGTCACATTAGAAGGGTGTAGCATGAAATCAGCAATAAACTGAAATTTAAATAAAGTTCAGCAACCAAATCCTGTAAAGACGAACTCTGTTTCATTGTTTGATATATGTACTAACTGAACACGAACACATGAGTTCCTGTAAGTGTTTGAGTCCTCCATGACACCAGTTTTGTTTTTCTGTAAGAATACATGAATTTTAACATTTTAAGCAATAATTTGCACAAAAAGGCAGATGCAACAAATATGATGAAGATATAAAATCATTTACATTTGAAGTTTGTCCACAGAGACTCACGTTTTCTTACAATGATGACTTTACACTGTTGCCCAATAGACACGCCTGAAAGATCCCAGAGCGTTGCTTTGCTGTTATCTAATCAGATGGTCATCAACACGTGTCAGTTTCTGTTTGACATGGTGAGAGGAAACGCACTATTCTACATCTTTATTGAAATTGATAAAAGGAGGTCATGACTTAGGGGAAGATGTGAGTCGCTCAGATGGAAAACAGTGAAAAGGTATTTAAAGCACAACAGTAGTTTATATTTACCTCAGCTAAGAAGGTAGAAGTAATGTTATTAATCTGTCAGTCAGCAGGTTTATAGCCCAAATTTTAAAATTGCAAAACGGGGCTAATTTTGTATTTTTATTGTTTAAAGTATAAACAACAGACTTCTTAAAAGTTCTCTTCCTTTTATGAATGGATGGATGTGTGCTGGTAGTCCATAGGAGCTATGAGTTCGGCAGGTATGTGTTGTGGCTGCCTATTGTCACTAAGTGCAGTGTCTTGAAAGAGCCAATAATGTGGGCTACGGTGGATTATGTTTGGCCTTCAGTTGGTTCTTTAGCTCAGCCTCTGTTTCACAGAAGAGTCATAAGAGACTCTGGTGAAGTGGGGAAGTGAAACTTCCTCAAAACTGTCTGCTGCAGTATTGTTCATGTTTTTCTCGTGTACTTTTTGGTCTTTGATTTTTCTTAATGCCTCTGTCTTCAAGGTGAACATGCTGTTTCCTTTTTAACCAATCAGCATTTGACCTACACAAAGGCTGTATCCCAATTCAGGGTCTGCAGCCTTAACGGTCCACAAGGGCCGTGTACTCAAAGACCGCTAAGGCC